TGACTATTTGAGCAATAAGTTCGTCAATTTCCCCCAAAAAAAGTGAAAAATCCAAAAAATTGTTCAAAAACGCACTCTGGTGGCGATCAAAATTAAAAATTAATGCGAAAAATGGATTCTCTGACCCAAAAAACCCCCGTATACACATTTTCAATAATATTTTTTGTCTTTGAAATGCATCTAAGAGGTCGTTTATTTGGTATTTTTGAAAATATCTACCAAAAAATTTTGGCAGGCTTGAAAATGATTTTAGAGGTATGGTTCCTTGGGCGAAAATGTTTGTTATGGTCCATAGTACCAGAATCGCAAGGATATGAATCAACTTTTTTAATTGACCCACCCTAATATATATATATATATATATATGCACAACAAAAATTTAAGCCAGCACAAAATACGTGGAAATTTAAGCAACAGCGGTAGAGCTTTTATTCTTTTTTTAACTAGCTTCAAAACCGGAGGAGATTACTTATTTGTCGTGAATATTTTTATTCTGTTTTTATTTTCATAAAAAAAGAAAAATTTCACATACATGATGAAAGCAGGTGGACTCACGCAAAAAAACAAAAGGTTTAAATACAACCAAAGAGAGCAAGCAAAAACGTGAAAAATTTAGAACAGCTGTAAAGAAAGTTATTTATATTTAGTTTTCCTTGGCTTCCCTTTCATTTTTGCTCTTCTTTGTTAGCTTTACTCAAGGCTCATTCGGTTTGTTTAGCTGCTTTTCAATAGCCAGGTGCGCTTAGGAAATGCTTTAGCTGAATGTTTAGATTACTAATGCGTATATATGTATGTATTCCGCTTATTTACCTGTCTGAATAATTTTAAACAAACTACTGCATGAATTTAAATGAAAAGATGTTTACCTTTTAAAGAAGCGCGCACAAAAATAAAAACTTATCCAACCCAAGCAAATTGTGCCGAAGCTCACTTTGTCAGAAAACTTTTTAAGTTTCGTGTTCACCATTTTTAGCAAAAAAAAAAAAAATTTAAAAAGGCCCAATTTTATGTAGCGACGAAAGAAGATTTTAAAATTGTCTGCTCGTAAACGCGGCATTGTGCTTAACGTTGGATAAAAAGTTATGCAAAAAAATTTAAATTAAATTTATATCTTATATGGGGCAGGAAACTGCGTTGTGAATAAGTTGTACAAGAGAGCTACCCTCGCATCGATTGCACCGATAAAGGAGAGCATGGGAGCATCTTTGGCTAATACTGCCACACTACTATTGAACAGATGGATCTTGTGTGAGCGTAGCAAACGCTGGGCCAAGAAAAGGACGTGTGTAACTGCATGGTCCTTCTGACCGAAGTTGGAGTGCAGGCGGTCAAGGGATCTTCTTGAATTCACAAAGCCGCAACTCTCATTTCTGGTGGGTGTATTGAGGGCCACTGTCCGAGGAGAGGCTAAGTATGATATCGGATCCTTACTGTAGCAGCTGCTTAGAGAACGATGATGTGAAATCATCTCAACATTTTCCTATTAAGATAGCTTTGCCGAGACTAGGGTCTAAATACGACGATTGCACTTTGATTTTCAGCGTTTTTCGCTAAAGCTTAGCAGTTACCGATCATAATGGTATTTAATGGTGTTTTTGTTTCAGTTTTCTATAAAGAACGAGATTCCATCGCGAAATTGTAGTTGAAATGAAAACTTAGAAAATATATATGGGCGATGTTTTTGCAAAAACGCCCATCGACTAATTGCAAAGGAGCGCAAAAAATGGATTTTCTTTGACGGCATTGCCTTAATAGGCGGTATTTTTTCTAGCTATTATTTTACAAATCTGTTGTTTTAACAACGATGACGTATACGCCCCGTAGCACCATACACAGTCAGTTAACACGTTTACTCGCACGCCTTAATTTAAAAGTCATTTTTTTCTAAAGTAATTAAATATTGGCGTGGAATATTTTTCTACAGTTTGCTTCTCGAACATACATGTGTAATAACTTCTTTATTTATATAACACTTTCAGAATGAATTTCGAGGTGCCAATAAAAATTGTAATNTAATCAATGTAATTTTTTTCTTCTGGCGGCACACTAGCTTTAATACTCTAGATTGGTTCGTTTTGGCAAGAGGAATATTTTCATCGATTAATGTCAAAATTTTCAAGTAACTTAAACTTTTGTTTCGCAAACCATCCTCATCTTATAATCAATGTAATTTTTTTCTTTTTGTGGCACACAAGTTTTATGACTCTAGATTGGTTCGTTTTGGCAAGAGGAATATTTTTTAATCGATTAATGTTAAAAGTAACTTAAACTTTTAAAATGAAAAAAAAAATCATTAAATACCAAAAATTACAAAATAGCAGCGAAAGATATTCTGCACGCTGCCATTTTTATTTAATTTAGTGGCACACTCTTCAACCTTCACAGATATGCTTTATATGATGCCAACTTTCATTGTTTCTAATATGAACATTATATTTGAAAACTTTGTAAAGTTATTGAAAAAAAAAAATCCATTATGATTTTTTCAAGTGACAATGAAAAGATGAGTAATTTCGGTACTTTTTCGCATAAGTAATCGTTTTAAGGCGAAAATTGTTCAAAACTTTTATTTTTTATAGTACTTGTTGTTGGAAATCAATTGGAATAAATGCAAGCAGAATGCTGTAACTTTTCTTTTCTGCCGAGAGAAGGGAGTGACACTAAGAAAAAAAACTCGTGAGATTTGCTCATATACTAAATGCATGTTATGTGCACATATAATATGTTTTTTGCTGAAAAAAGCTAAAAAGTCCTGAAACATTATTAAATATTTCAAACCTAATTATGAAATACAAACGCATGCTTAACTTTAGCAGTATTTAGTGTTTATTTGTTAGCACTTACTTATATATGTATATGTGCATATGAACAGATGTTTGTATGTATTTTTCTACTAGGTTGATTTCATAAGTCTTGCCTGTTCATAAATGAGTAAAACCTCACTGAGGGCGTGGTGTGTTTTTTTTTTATTTGTTATTTTGAACGTTAATGTAACTTTTCCACCATCGCTTTAGCTTTATGCGCAAAGTGTGCCAATTAAGGACTCTTCAAGAGTGAATGCGTCACGATGGCACTTTTAACACCAGCGGTGTAAAAACATGAATAATCTGTCAATTAAAAGCTGTTAACTGAATTTACTTTGAAAAATTATCGCGAGCACGTACTTACATATACATACTTTGCTGCCATATTTATGAACTCGTGAAACTAAGTTTGATTAAATAAATTTTTATTTGTTTTTGCCCTGTCGGAAAAGTTTATCCTCATTCAACAAGGAAAAAGAGAAGCTGTTTGCGAATCAACAATCAACTTTCTTAATCATATGCCATTTTTAATTTATTTTTTTTTTAATTTTTCTCAACGGGTTCTGCTCTATCTAATAAACTATTTAGTAGCCTGGGGGCGCACAGAAAATGTAATTAATTTAAATAAATTGTCCACCAAAGCAGCCAATGATTTTTGTTATGTACCTATGTAGATATTGAACAACTCACCAAACGGTATTACTTCAAAACCGCATACGAAATTCCAGTTGGGTAATAAGTTTGAAACCTTAAGATATGCACATACATATGTATATATGTACGTATATATGCTTAATGTGGGCATATGTTGCGTGTGCAGTTTTAAGAAGTCAAATGTAATATAAGTTTTAAAATGCTGACAAACCTACACAAAACTTTTAAATGAATAAAATTTGCAGCCAGTTCGAAATGAAAAGTTGTCCTAAATAATATTTGCCAGGTGGTGTGGGAGGACGATAAATGTCAGCTAAAAATCTTATAGGAATGATTTATTGCATTATGAACTTATGTCCCCATACATACATACATATGTAGGTATGAGAAGGTGAACTGTTGTTTTTGTTCGCCACATTGTTGCCAGCAATTACGCTAATGAAAGAAAGCCAAGAGTAGTAGTAACGATGATGGATGTATACCTGCATACATATATACAAGTCTAGATGTGCACGCAAGCCTTGACTACCAAAGGTGAAGTTTTGTACACATTGCAACCTTGTAGGTGAAATTAGCTACTCGCTCACTTTATTAACGAGTGACCTGGTTAATGTGTTTTGCCACAAGTAGTTTTATTTCGTCTTCGATTCATTTCTTACCTGCACAGTCTTTCTTCTCCCCTTGATGACATCAGGATCGTTGGTTATATGCTCTTCGATTAGAAAACGTAATTTATCAAAAACTTTGTTTTTAAATTTACTCAAATAAGTTTCATGGTCCTCATTGTCGGGATCGATTGCATGCTCACTCGATTTACCAGCAACGCTGTTGGGTAAATAATTGAAAAGATAGATAATTTTTTGAGGGGTTACTTTTGGTAATTTTTATTTTGAAGAAATTCAAATAAAGTGGTTAGTCGGATTTTTTAAATCAAGTAATCGAATACTTGAAACAAATTTGACAAATTAAAATTTGAAACCGCCCTTTTGTACTTACACCAGCGTTGTGTAATTGTCGGAGGAGAGGTTCATAGTGAGTTGATCTTTCATTTTGCGTAGTCGTTCACCTGCCTCCGCATTTTTAGTGGTCAACTGTGATGACCATTCACGAAACACAGCCAAAATTTTATCATTCGACAGCTCTGTTCGGAAGAGAACGAAGTAATTAGTGGCGTGCCATTAAAATAATGAATGAATAAAATTATTACAGCTGGCTTTAGTAAGAAGTAACCAGATTTATTTTATTTTTATTTATTTAAAAAAGCTTATATAATATTAACAATTATTATACAACCTATGAAAAAGCAGCGCTAGCAGCATAACCAGATTTAAATTTCCCTATACAAGCTAAAAGCTAGTTTTTCAATCCCACTTACCTAACGCTCTTTGCACTTCCTGTTCCAATTGTGTCTCTCTCAGCTTCTGTGCTCGGTTCATGAAATCCTCGGAGAGAGTATTTGTTGTATTTGCATTTCGTTTAATGCTTTGAAGATAGCGCTCAATCGCATCACGTAGCTGTAAATACTCCGAATGCCATTTTTCTAGCAACATGGAACTGTAAATAAGAGCAGAAAATTTATAGATTTGAAAGAGCAATTTACTACTAGTCACTGGAGATCAGCTAGTCCCAACAAATCTATGTCATATGACAGAGTTACAAACATAAAAAGTAAATTTTTGGCGTATACAGATGATACTGAAAATATGAATTTGAAGTAGTTAAGTACTTTGTCTCCCTAGGATCCAGCATAAATACCACCAATAATGCCAGCATGGAGATCAGGCCGAGAATAACTCTTGCCAACAGGTGCTACTTTGGGCTTGGTAGGCAATTAAAAGGCAGAGTTCTCTAAAGGAGTACCGAAGGAGATGGAATGACGAATAAAAATACAATGATTGTGCTGTATGGGACATGTTGTACGACGAGGCTACAGTGAAACGATTTTTTGATTCGACACCCATGGGTGGAACTCCAACGCTACCCATTGGATAAATTTTCAAAAAAAAGTTTCTTTTTACATAGCTAAACGTCTTTTTCCTCAAGCCCGAAATTGCGCAATTTCGAAACTCAATTTCAATTTAAAATTATAGCTGTTTACACGAACTTCTCAATTTCAAGCTCAATTTCGATGGCAGTTTGTCTATTTGTTTGTTGTTATCTTGTCAGTTTTGTGTTGATCGGTTTATTTGCTTGTTATTGACGTTTTTTTCAATCAGCTCACATATAGATATAGTTACAACTTTTATTAAAAACATCGCTATTTAACAGTTATTTTTTGACTTTTATTTAATTACTCCTTGAATAACAGTTGTTACTGATTTTTATTTTATAAATCTGAAACAGGAATTATTTTTGATTTTTATCTAAGTAATCTGCAAATAGCAGTTAATTTTGATTTTTAAAATATAAGTCTTAGATAACAGTTATCGAAGACTTTTATTTATAAAAGTCATAAATAAAAATCAGCCAGTGATTTTTATTTTTAAAAGCCATCAATATAAATCAGTCACTGACTTTTATTTTTTAAACATTTCCTTCATAGTGAGTTTTTCAATGATGTTTTTCATCTATAACTGTTACGTTCGCGCCCAGGTTTTGGACAAAAATTCATATTAAAAAATTCACTTAAATCGGAATTCCAAGCGTAGAGCGAGTAGAGACCCTGCAANGAGTATCTGATTTCTGTAACGATTTTTTTCCGAATCTTCAAAGAAAATTATATGAAGTGGTTGACACGAACTCGTAAAGAAATTTCTGTACGAAAAATAAAGAAAATTCTGAAAAAAGTCTGCAAGAAATTCTTCACATAGCAGCATTATTTTCATTTCTTCACCGATTTTCTTCCGAAATTTCGTAAAAGAATGGAAGTGTGCGTAATTTATTTCATTTTAGAAAATTCGGAAAAAAATCGGATGGGATCTTTCCGAATTCGTTAAAATTTCTTTACGATTCAGAATACTCTGAAAAAATGGTTTGCAGGGGATATACAAAGATTATGCATGTGTGCGTAGAAATCTAAAAACGTAAATGCATGCGTTCATGCGAACAGATGTATGCATTCACGATTGGCCTTAAACCATTCACATTGACACACTTGACGGAAAATAGTTGCATTTTGTTAAATTTGAAAGTTTATGCAATTTTTATGAAAGAATAAACCGAAAAGATTGCTTAACTTAATGATGCCAGCAAGGAGCAAATGCGAAGGAAGAAGCGTGGGAAAAGCAAACTTATAAAACTTCAAATGTCTGCATACATATATATTTATTATCTTGTAAAGCGAAAGAATGAACGCTCTGCGAAATCGCATTGCATTTCACTTCAGCTGACTGCACCATAACTACGCGCGCGCGGGGGGGGAATATTTACGTAGCTAGGTGGCAGTGGCAAGCAAGTCAGCAAATGGCTGCTGCATTTACTTACTTAAGCTTTACACTTATTTAGTTACTTGCTTTTGGCGAGTTTGCTTAAAGCAAGTTGCTTGATTAGAAGCCCCGCCAGCATCGTTGTGCAAAATGTGATGTAATGATTGCTGGGCGCTGTCTTGAAACAACACTCTAAAAAGTATTATTCGTGTGAACAACACATTTATTACGTATGTATATTGTACATACTATGTATGTAGTGCTTTAACTTTAATGAGTGTTTCCTTTGAAGGATCTTGTAAGTTCACAAGAGCTAAAGCTTTTGAAATGAATACTTTTGTTAGGAAACATGGCGTTTGAGTAACAATCTATATATTAATATACCGAACCGATTTGAAAACCAAGATCACCATCGGTAAGGTATTTTTTGTAGATGAAAAGAGTTTCCAAAATTGGTTGAACAGTACGGCCAAAATCGCCGTATACAAATTTGCGTAATTGTGTACAGTTGTTGTTGCAACCAGTTCAATTTTAGTTGGTTTGTTTGTTGGTTTCATTCGTAATTGAAATTAAGCTTTGTACTGAAGATAAATCTGTTGATGAAAAAATAATTGAGAAAAAAGTGAAGGCAAT